AAATTATACATTTTTTCTATCGAACACGAGATGCGCTGCGAGACTCTCGCCGGAAGAGAGTGTTGCAACTCTTTTGTGACCGACCACACATACATCACTAGAGCCGTAACTTTTATTTATTGTCATTTTCCGTGCTATCAAATTGCAATAACGCTTAAATCTTGGGAATTGCGACGTCTTTTGCTAAAACGCTTTTTGCTAAAAATTTCATTACAATTTAATATTTAGAGCAAAAAGTTCGAAGCTCACTACAGTCCTACAGTCCCTGGCCACATTATTAGACGCATTTTAATCTTTTAATAGAACACAAGTTTGGAGAAGAGAAACTACTAATTTTACGTTTACCCGATTAGAATAATTTTCGGTGTCGGTCAGCGCTTTTACCTCTGCAACCTTCCGAGGTGTCACTCGTTTCACTCATAAGTTTCACTCGCAAGATTAATATTTTTCACGCAGAAATTTATGTTTTCGTTAGTAAGCAGGAAATTTGAAGTTTCAAGTCACGAATAAGTGAAAACGAAATTAAATTTCAACTGACACACGCACAAAACTCACGTCTGTTCTCGTTATTATCGACAATGCAACTAGCGCGGGTTCATACTTGTTCAAAGTCATCGTAACAGCCCAATGAAATGACGTCATAAAAAGTACCTTTTACATAATGATGGTTCCTTAACGTAATTCGACCGACGGATGAACTGTATTATAAAACCTGGTCCTCGGAAGTTGATGAATTATAAAAAAATCAAGGTGCGTCCAATAATATAACCAGGGACTGTTGCAGACCCAGCCTGAGCCGCGCGTGTCTCTTCTGACCTCTCAAGTTCAAAGTCGAGTTACGATCGGCCGAGAGGACGGCGCGCGACGACGGCGACGCCGCGCCACGATTATCCCGATCATCACGTCATGAGAATGTCTTTTTTTTTCTCTTCCTCTCTCGCAGGTCGCACCCTGCTCATGCTGCGCTCGATAAAGCGCGCCCACAGGCTGGACGCGAACAATCCGGACCTGCACACGTGTCTGGTGCGTTTCCTGCTGCACACCAGCGGCTCGCCGCTGGAGGGCCCGCTGGGCGAGGTGGTGAAGCGCCAGACCGCCGGGATCTTCTCCAATCCGAAGGCGGTCCAGCTGAACGCCGAGTATCTGAAGAAGAACAGAAACTCGCTACCGCATCTGCTGCAAGGCGCGAGGATGTTGTACGTGTTGGATCCGTCGGTGCAGTCCAAGGCGCTCATCCTCGTGACGAACATTGAGGAGCTCGAGGGCGTAACATTGAAAAACTGCACGAAGGTGCTGGAGGCGTTGCGCAACGGCGACTTCGGTGACTGCAATGCAACGATAGCCGATTACATGGCGAAATGCCACGAACGATTCCCGTTCGCCACGGCGTTTCGGCCACCCGAGCCGAAAGCCAATCATCAGGAGAAGGAGAACTCGATCAAGAACTGATCCAGGCACGCGCTGTTGCAGCGTCACTGAATCGCTATCATAGTTAGGCGAAGCAATGGGGAAGGGGAAGGAAGAGAGAGGGGGGAGGGGGGAGGGAAGCAGAGAGAGAGAGAGAGAGAGAGAGAACCCGAAATGGAGAGCGTTCTGATCTGCGCTAGAGGACGTTAGAAGGAAGAAAAGAAACGACGAGATGAGCAAAAATCTTTAGGTGGCTGACCGTAAAACGAAATGAAATTGGCGAATATACGATTAATCGTAGCAAGGCATGTATCATACACGATGAACTTGTTCCTCGAGGATATTTCACGTAGTGCGAACAACAGTGCTGGGACAGTGCGCTGGATAAACAATCCTAATAATAAATTGTAATACGAAGAGATGCAGAAAGAGAGAGAGAGAAAGAGAGAGACCTCTCTCGGCTTTCACGCGTGCTCCTGAGTGTCGCGTGAAACGAAAACAAAAAGGAGAGAGAGAGGGAGAGAGAGAGGACAACGGAATAGCTTAAATATAATTAGTTAAACCTAAATATCGAAACCGAGATCAATTCGAGACACGCGCTCTACGTCTTCAACGTAGACGACGAACAACGCTGAATGAGAAAGGAAAAATATAGAGAAAGGGGACGGGGGGGGGAGAGGGGGGGGGTTGGATCGACGAAAGTGCGGACTTATTTTAGTGTGTTGCGGGACGTGCAGTGTGTAAAATAAGACGTGCGAGACTAACACATTGGTACAAAGGAAGAAGAAAAAAAAAATGAAAACAAAAAAGACAAGACTTGTATACATACGTACGCGCGCCCTATGCGAATATTTCTACTCGACGTTAAGGTGTACAATTTCCAGCGATGCCTACATAAATACTCTACTGTGTAGAGGCCGCTAAAACGCTAGACGATCATCGAGCACCGATAAAACTGTACCGTGCATGCGTCCGTCGTCGCATTCGGATGGACTCCGTTCCCACACATCGTGTACTAAAAAAAAAAAAAGAGAACTTCAGGTTCGCCCTCATTATCACCCGTGAACGGTTGATTCGAGTGAACGAAAAAGAAAAAAAAAGAAAGAAAGAAAGAAATGATCTAACGTTTTTCCTCCTTAGAGAAATGCACACTTTATTCCTGTGTTTGTCCAGGGTAATGATCTACGTTTGGATTGGAGCCCTGATATTCCATCGAGCAGTCAATAAGGAAGTAGTAGTGTCCGTTTGCGAAAGTCTCTCTGTGAAAGTTACTATAGGAACGATAAATACTGCGTATTGTATACGCAAGCTACCAAAGTATATCATAAATCGAAGAGCCATTAGTGCTGATAGCGAATATTGTGTACGTGTGTACATCGACGGATTACGGAAATTTTAATAAACACTGAAGGTTAAAAGGCATATATATGTATATATATATATATATGTATATATATATGTATATATATATATATATATGTATGTATGTATATATGGGTAAGTCTCGGCATATCGGTATATATGTATATATACATACATATGAATCGGTACAAGTCGACGGATATCGCGATTACCTCGTTTAATTTCAGAAGTAACGCTACTTATTTATAAGTTGTCACCTTCCTCCCGTAAAAACATTTTCGATACGAGATCACATAGACTACTACCGAGCTATTAATAACGTTTGTACATATTTCAAGTACTATATCAATAAGTGTATATGTCTTACGACTTTCTTTCAATGACGACAAGATGAAGTTTTTGCCGTCGAATATTGTCTGAATCAATATTGTCTGAATGTTGATCACCTATTCAAACACGTCATAACAGTAATCATAAACATATAGTAGATATTTACATTTCATTGTATTAGTTATAATATATATTTACCTCCTTAATCACATACATAAACACACGTAACACACACACATACGTACACACAACACACACGTACACACACACACACACACACACATACATTTATAAAAAAATATCTTACACCGGCTGCTGTAAAAAAAATCCCCCCTCCGAAAAGTGGTGAATCGATGGAATAATCTTTACGAAACGAGGTCGTTCATTCTCGAGAGATGATCATGATTTCAGATGATCATATTCCTTCCGTAAATGCATGGAGATACATTCACAGCGCTATAAAAAAAATGTTGCCACAGAATGAAGACAAATTTAACGAAATCACTTTTCGTTGTCACTAATCGTGACATTACTATACCGGCTTACAGACGATAGAAAAGACGCGTTAAACTGACGATTAAATTAGATTGAAGGCAAATTACACGATTGTTGTGTACAAATCTATCGTTCTGCCGAAAATACCTCCGCAGGAACTTGGTAACCGTGCATCTACCGAAGAATGGTCTCTCTCTTCGAAATTTCGGACTTTTCATTTGAACATATTTTTCCGATGAAATTATGCTAAACCTAAAATGTAATGCTTGACGCATCTTCAGACTTACTTGGTGAGATCGCTCCAATCTTTACCGGAGGTTATTACCTCAAAGAATAAGAGGATTCCTATCACGCACAGACAAACGTCAAAAGATTAAAGAATAAATTAATGCTGACCGCGTATTGCATTCAAATTTGTCAAGAGCCGCAGCATCTAGATTCGCCTTTCAATCCCTAACATAATATTATATGAGAAACTAGCTTGAGTTATTCTTTAGACCGTATATCTCCCACCATCCCCAGATCCCCAGATACAATTGAATTCATCACACAGAATGAAAATATCTGTTCTGCAAAAATACTCTTTTTTTTTTTGTAATCTCGATAACAATAATCGTAAAAATCGTATCTTTACTTCTTTAAAACTCGGACTATCTCCAGCAGTTATATCGATTGCATGACGTCAGAGGCGAGAAATGACATACAATAGATTTTTTGTGATATACAGATAAATTTTCTTTGGTTTCCCTGAAGAGCAATAATTCCTTTGTACACCTATTTATCGTACATTTTTAATAGTTCCCTGATATATCGCACTCCATGGCACGTTTCTCAGCCATTTTCACGCGTCCGTGAATGAAAATAGTCAGGAATGACTGAAGAATATATATCATTGTTTCAGGAATTATTTTGCGATTCTACGCGACGTATCGGACAAACGTCGCGGTTTGCCGCGTATTTCACAGGATTACGAAGCTCTTATGTTTTTCAAGGGAAACGAAAAATTACTTCACACGTCGCAAGAAATTTACCGCGTGTCATTTCTCGCCCCTGACGTCATGACAACCGTTGTTGATAGCCGAGCCTTAAGAGAGAGTAGCTCGCACGTTTATGCACGGACAACCCGAACGTTAATCGAAATGTCATAGTCGAATGAAAAAGTGTTATTTTACATTACTCACCGTGTTACAAAATAGTCTACATATCTTTCAGAATCTATCGAACTATTTTGTTTCATAATATAGGGTAATGTAATTGTACTCATAGATAGCGTATGCCCAAACAATACGTATGTTTGAGAGACCGCTTTGCGTCTTGGGACGTATTAATGTTACATGGGTACTTATATACTCGTTGCCTCTGTGATATATAGCAATCGAGTATATACATAGAAAAGGCGAAAAAAAATAAACATAATAATAATAATAGTACATTTTAATTATATTTTAATAAGCGTAATATTTTAAATATTATATCTGATCACACGCATTACGCGCAATATAAGATACGCAGGTTCTTCTCGGCGATATATATTCTAAATTTTTTGCAACGTGCACGAAGGAAAACTTCTATGTGATGAATTCAGGTTCCACAATATAATCATACTTATTGTCCAACTTTCTCCACGCTGTACTCGTGATCGAGGATATATGTGGAGTAACATTTTAATTAAACGAATTTGGATATGTATAGTATGTATATAAAAAAAAAGCATTAACACACACATACACATGCGCGCGCGCGCGCGCGCGTATAAACATCTTTATGTTTAATCGTTTCTTTTTATTATAATACATCAGCACGGAAATATATCATGTAAAACTGGTCTATCTTATTCCGCTTAATTTAAAAGAGAAAATAAACACTGTTACATATTTCTACCATGCCATAAGTATTGCATCACTGTTTACATTTGTACAGCAGGCATAAAGTGCATAAAAACGCAGTTGTGTCATATACTTAATCCTATCTTAGTCTTACCGCAGTTATTACTTCTCATTTTTCTGTATATTAAGTTTTATTTATTTTCTGCATTCTCATGGGAAAAGAAAATTATCAGATCTGTAAAGATTGAAGAAAGAGCAGGCGTGCCCCGCCTGCGTTTGTACCTATTCTTAATTATTAAATTTTATATGTAAATATGATTGTCTGATCTTTTAAGCAAATCGATATCCAGCAATACAGTCATAAGTTGTATTTTCACATGCTACTCGGTGATTAACATTACTTGAAAAGGCTCGACTTATGAAATGTCAAACGAAAAAAATAAATAAATGATGAACATGAATATAAATAACATTTCTTTATTACACATGTTACTTATACATGATATTAAACATATTATATGTGATATAAAGAGCACGACAAACGCCTGGTAAACCAACTAACAGTAAAATTATAATTATATATAATTCAATGTTATAATTTTTCATTTCACGATGCAAGCGCAATATCATGTATGTTGTATATATATATAGTTATTTTATTGAGTGGGATATTATAACATTGTTTTAATGTTACTGTTAGTATTTTCTAGATGGTTATCTTCCTTCGTCGATAGTTTGGTAGTTGAGCTAATCATTGAACGATTGATACGTACAGTGAATATCGATAAAATTAATTTATTTTTCGTTATTCTTTGGAATGTATTGCCTGAAAGAGAATAATCGGGGTGTTAATATCTTCTTGGAGGATTGCAACAGTAAATTATTAGCGATTATTAATGGAAATACCTGTAGGCGACGCCAGCTTTATTAAATATTGGACTTGATTTTTGTTTCCAATTTGTACTGTTAACATAATGTATATTTTTCTCATCTTTGTATATCACTTCCTTTATCTTAGTGTGTATAATTTTATTTGCACAAACGTCGCAAGGGAACAGAGTGACGTACATTTTATAGTCTCTGCGATCGCTTAATGTTACTTTCTGGATAGCCATTACTTCCGCATGAGGGTCATTAGACCTTCCATTATACCCGGTACTGATGATTTTATTTTTATCTTTAACAATGCATGCACCAACTGGGCTTGTATTTTTACTTTCGTCTGCAGAACGGATAGCTTCTGCCATAAAATATTCGTCCCAATCCTCTTCACTATGCATATGAAACAAAATATTACTTGACAACTGGAAGTGTATATATATATACGAAAATATATTTTGCGAGTATATTATCATATTATTTTTATTATTATTTTAGAAAGTCGATTTTTTAATTGCTGAAAAACAAGAAAAGACAGTTCTTTGCGAGAAATTGATTTTTTACGAAACATTGTTTGTTTTGCAGTTTAAATAATATATTTGGTACTTTTTAATATCCTCCATATCATGCTTCTCTTACAATAATAATCTATTTTTATTACTTACTCATCTATTTCATATTAGATTATATATATTATATACATTATATATTATATATATTTGTTCCCAATATATTTTATCGTAATTTTTTGAAGAAAATATATTATTGCTTAATATATAACATATTAATTTTATTTGACTTCAGTTAAGTGCACGTAATTATCTTCTTTGCAGAAAAACATAAATATTACAAGTTTTAACTGAATATGATGTGAATTTTATCAAACGAATTTTCTATTCTTAGAAAAGAAATCGGAGAATCCGCGGGAAAATGAAAAAAACTAGGTTTTCACCAAGTCTCAAAAATTATATTTTATATATTAAAATAAAAAACTGATCTCACCTTCCCGCCATTGCCAGCTAAATGTTGAACTCGAAATAAACCGAAACACGAAACGTGGTACTGAGAGGTTCGCAGGAGTGACCAACACAGAGATGTAGCAAATCATATGACAGCATTTATAGTCAGATCTTATCAGTGTATCTTATCAGTGTATTATATTTGAAGTACGTTCGGGGATCCCCCTATCAGCGCTAACGAAGTTCGGGAAATTACACTTCTTCTTTTTTTATTGGCGCTACAGTCTCTTGTGAAGACCCGGGGTCTACCTCTCCTCTCTCACGCGTATGCGCGATGCGTATGTGATACGCACGCAGAATTAATACATATACATACGGGATCTACAGTTTAAACGCCAGTTCCGAACGGCAATTGGAGAAAGGTTTTCATTCATGAGTAATACTCTTGGCGGTTTGCCAGATCACCGAAGAGGAGTCACGAGCGCATGAAAATTTTCCTGGCTCTGCCGGGAATCGAACCCAGGAATTACACTACTCAACCAAAAATAGGGGACACTTTCCAAACGTTTGAAATTGAACAATTTTCAAACCGATAATCAGCAAAAAATCATGGTAAACGAAAAACTAAACAAGCACTTTGAAGCATTATAAAGTTTATGCTTTAAACTGCTTTCAAACGTATTTAAAACCTTTTTCTTTCCATAGTTCTGCTTAAACATGAACACGTTACTTTGTTTTTCAAAATTATAGGTCTGTTTTTTTCGAAATACTTTCTGCACTAGTGCATACCAGTGCAAGGAGTTTACACTAAAGCGTTCTTTTTATCGAGAATGACATCATCATGACGTCATCAGCGCTGTTCTTTTTCGCAGCGCAACAGCATGTAGTGCAGGCAATTCAGTGAACTGTTGCACTGAGTCAGGAGGTAGTGTGGTTAGTGTAGTGCATGAAAGTGTAGCTTGGAAGTGCAAGTAAGCGTAACGGAAATTTATACGAAAAGTCTCTATCAGGTATGTGGCTTGCATACAGTTCAGTTCAGTTCAGTGCAATTCTAGTGCAGTTTTAGTGTAACCAAAAAGAACAGACCTTATGTTACATTCACCACTTCACAGCTCGATGAAATTTTTTTTCGAAAAATTCAAGATATTTGCAGAAAAAGAAAAGTATAAAATTTTGTCTATAAAATGCTTTCTGAATTTTCTTACGATTTTTTTGGCCGTCCGGGAAAAAATGATTATATATGATTATATATGATTATATATGATTGTATATCATTATATATAATTATATAAAATTATATGAATTTTGCACATATATGTGGTTACATATATGATCATGTATGATCACATATGTCTATGTGAAAAAAATGATGCTTGATTGATATAATTTGTAAACGGTATTTTTCCATTGTGAATATAATTATATATAGCATATATGGGCAAATTTCATTAAAAAATAAATAAATAAATGAACAATAATGTAGATAAAATTTCTCTATTACACGTGTTACCATACATGATATTAAGAGCACAATAGATTGATATCTTCTTCTGTCAATAGTCGAGTTTCATTGGGCTCTCTAATGACTGATTCATATAATCAATATCATCAAAATTAATTTCTATTTTGTTATTCTTTGGTACGTATTGCCTGAAAGAGAATAATTAGAGTATTATTTTCTCAGAGAAAAATAATATGTGCAATAGCAAATTATGAACGATTACAAATGGAAATACCTATACTCTATACCAGCAGCGTCGAACATTTTCTTTGCAGCTACCGTCTGTACTTTATCAGCATATTTATCTGACATGTATATCACTCTTTTTATTCTAGACTGTATTATTACTTTTGCACATTCGTTGCAAGGAAACAGAGCAACGTACATCGTACAATCTTTGCTGTCGCTTGAATTTTTGTTCAGAACAGCGTTAACTTCCGCATGACACACTACAAGTATCGATTAATAAATACTCTTAACAATTAAATAACAATCGGAACAACTTATTTACCAATATTTTCTGGTAGAGAAGAGAAAATCTTTTGTCATGTATTGTACCATAAAGATATTTTGCATCTAGACTGGTATGGGAACCCTTTTTCCAAGGGAAAACATCATCGTGGCATCCTCTGGGCATTCCATTATACCCGATACCGATGATTTTCTTGTCCTCGTTAACGATGCATGCACCAACTTGGGTGTGTGGATCTTTGCTCCGTTGTGCGGAAAGGAAGGCTACTGCCATAAAATATTCATCCCAATCAAGGTACGACGTCCTTTTGGTTGTAGGACTGTCCTCCTCACTGTGTACATGAAACAAAATATTACTTGACATCTGGATATATCTAGTGTATATATATATATATGTATATATATTTAAATAAATGCATATATATTCGGGAATATTTTTATATATTAAAACAAGAAACTTTTATACCATTCACACAAACTTTCTGCCATTGCCGGTTGAAAATTATTTGAAATAAATCCAAAAGTACAACACGTGGTACTTGAAGGCAGCAATGGCCAACATAGAGATATAACAAGTCATCCCTTATTAGGCTGGTATTACATGCGTACGTAGCGTAAGCGTTGTCGGGGTGTGCTAATTGGCTGTTGGATAGAAAATTTCAAGGGTCCCTGAATTTTTCCTTAGACACACTAGAAATTTTCTATCTGACCGACAATCGGCACATCCAAAACACTCGTCGTACGACGTATGTAATACCAGCTTTATGTAATGTAACCAACCCGTTTCTACCATCAGGTTTAAATCCAATCAACGATTAACTCTACAGAATTGACCAATCGCACTGATCGATTTAGTTAATTGGCCAATGCGATTTGTCAATTCCTTTAAGCTAATCGTCGACTAGATTTAAATTATGATGGTAGAAACGGTTACACACATTCAAACACACACATCAATGCATATTGGAACGTACGACATATATATGAAGTTCAGGAGAATCCCGATAGATCACGTTGCAATTGACCACCAATCACAACTAGACGTGATTTGATGATTTTATAGTATCGTCCAATCGGGAGGACAATCGGATCACCTTAAGCCCGTATTAGACTACGGATCGGGGATTGAGATTGAGATTGAAGTTGGTCAATAAGTACAGAGCTAATTGAATTCAAGTTTAGTGAAATTTAATGAACTTTGCACGAATTGATCGAATTTCAATTCAATCTCAATCTCTAATTCGTCTGATACGAGCTTTACGAAGTTCTCACGCTTCAGTGTGTGTGCATTTTTCAAACTAGTGCAGCCGGTTCAACTGACAAAAAGAACAGACTTCCGCCTTCGAACGTCCTTCCGTACGAAGCGAAAGCAACCAATCGCGATGCGCGGTGTGTCAATTGAATTGAGTGAGTCATACGACCAATCAACGTGCGCCAGCTGGGATTCCGGGTTTTTGACAGTAGTCAACGTGTATAAAACCGAGCGGGGAACAATCGCGGCCGATGTATCGGAGGAATATTCGTTATAAAAGTAAGTGAGTGAATTAAAATCGCCGCGCGCTATTCGGTTATCGAGCAACGGAGATACGGCGGTAAACGTACGCGGATTATCGAATCAATCGTGAAGGTATGTAATTTACACTTTGCGCTTGTTCCCCGAATAACCTAATATACGGCCAACATCCATCCCGTTTCTCCAAGAATCCGACGATTCTCTTACATTTGCCTTTGTTAGCGATCATAGATCATAGATAATATTATACATGAAAATCTCACAGTATATTATAACTCAAGACGAATGTTCAGTGTTTGTTTTACGTTCTGTCTTTTAAAATATTGTGAATTGATAAAAATGCCCGGATAAATGAGTTAGATAAGAATACGAATATTTGCAATACCGTAGAGAAACGTCATAATTAATCTCCCCACCGTCCTCTTCTGCGAGAAACAAATACGCGCATGTTGGCATATTTTATTTTATAAAATCATCAGGATATATTTGAAGATCAACTCATTCAGGATAGATTTTTTGTGATTTGTGATGTTTCTTTCAACAGAAAACAAAAGGAAAAATGAATACTTCAGTATCCTTGATACTTACCATACTTCTTGCATTTATGTATGCTGTTACAGCATTGAGAGAAGGTGATTGTGAAGGTAAGACTTTTTATATGATTTATCTTTATATTGAATTCATACTTTATTATATTATGTTTGAATTATTTATATTTACATTAGAATTTATACAAATTTGTATGATGTTATGTTCATTTATATGCAATTTTACAGTATGCGTCGCAGTTGTGGACAAATTTAGTCAGACATTAACACCAAATATCAAAAATGACCCTAAGAAGATCGAGGCAAAGTTTCGGGAATACTGTAAAAGCACAAAATCAAAAGAAAATAGATTTGTAAGTTTACGTGTATATAGATAAAATATAATAGAAATAAACATACAAGAATAAGATTTTCTTTAATCAGTTAGATAAACAGAACTAACTGTTATGTATATTTCCAGTGTTACTATTTAGGTGGATTGGAAGAATCTGCCACAGGTATTTTAGGTGAACTCAGCAAACCAATATCATGGTCTATGCCTGCCGACAAGATATGTGAAAAGTTGAAGAAAAAGGACGCTCAAATATGTGATTTACGATTTGGTATGTGTTCAATATTTATTAATTGTAATTTTTTTATTGCACGCCACGATTATAAAACCGACTTTCTATAACGGTAATGTTCTATTGTAGAGAAACAAATCGATCTCAATACGGTAAATCTGAAGAAATTAAAGGTGCGCGACTTAAAGAAGATCTTGAATGACTGGGAGGAAACATGTGAAGGTTGCATAGAAAAGACGGACTTTATTAAACGTATCGAGGAGCTCAAACCCAAGTATTCTAGTAGTAGCTCAAAAACGGAACTTTGAAGGACTGTCTTCGACTTAGACAAGCAATTGCGTTAGTACGGCTAAAATTTCGGTCTCTTCAATTCGCAGAAGAATTGTTTGTAACATTTAGAATATGTATTTACTCTGTCTACGTATGTCTTGTATAGCTTCGTTCGGTATAAATTTGTTTTTTAGTGACAGCCCCTTAAAATAAGATATATTTAGGTTCTATCAAATGGAGTAGCAATATTACAAGTGTTACTATACTAGAAATTAGGAAATGAAGCGAGAAAAAAACGATGAACAATGAATGTTTCGCGCGTCGCATACGTTTCTATATTCCAATAATTTCGGGAAACGCATATATATATATCGGCAATTTGATTTTTCCCAGGTGCAGTCATGATAATAAGGTATCTATTTTATCGAAGGTGCTCCATTTTATGACACAAACGTTAGATGTAAATTAATATATATACAATGTTTATACGAAAAATTATTTTCACACGTATTTATCTTCATTGCTCTTCCTCATACGTAGTGTAGTAATATGCAATACATTTGTACAATATGTCCGAATGATATTTATACCAAAACGCAGTGTGTACTACGTGTCGAATGATACGTGCAAAATATACCTTAGCCAACTGTGCTATGCGTTACTGTACAACTTGCTTTCTCGTTATATATGTTATGCATGAAGTACGAACAGTTGAACTAGAGAATGTGTCTCACGGCTAGTATTCATTATTATTACTATCAGACGTTAACAATGCCAATTTTCGAGATAAGAATCGTTTGTACGGATATACATCGATTTTTCCAGTTAAACACGATAAGGATATATATACACTTGCATACAAGATATCGTAAAATTAATGGTTATGGTTAAAAATCACGTAAAAGTAATTGTAGATAAGATATATTATACCATATACATCAAAATACTATGTACTACTTTGAAAAGAAATTCTCTCCACAAACTAAGTTATTTATTTGATGATAAGACTGTATAATTACGTTTTCTATTGTGTATTCATGAATCTTGATACGAGAAGTCAGTAAGAAATAAAAGCATGTGTGCATGTTGTTACAAAAAAAGAAGCGGGACCATCATTTTGCTAACGCCTTCACGCAACGTCGCACCGGATCCTCTTGACTTGATCATAAACATTGTCTGCAATGGGCAGTAGGAGTATGTTTGCAAGAAGTAAAAATAAGAAATCAACCAATCGTAGTCAATTATTCTCCTTACATTCGGATACAATTGGTCAATTCTTTATTCTTACTTGTGAATATACTCTTACCGCCTATTGTGGACTACGCTTTATGTGCTTTTACTTTCGTCACATTTCAATGATTCGCTCCATTTTCCATCGGCTTGACACGTTATTACTCCTTGCTTTTTGTTATCGGGACACGCGTAAGTCAGTTGATCTTGGAACAAGTATGAACGACCGTGGAGCACGACTCCATACTGGATCTGTGGCTTGCCGCACGATATCTCTGCACAAACAGTGTTTTTATCGGTATAAGTTTGACAAAAATCTTAAATTGATCTACCGATCTGTTTAAATATATACGACATCTAAAGTAAATTGTCACACACTCGAACATCTGCCGTTCATTCTAGACCATTTTCCATTTCCCAGGCACCTCAAGTTTGCTTGTCCGAATATACGGTATCCCGGCACACATTGATAGGAGATCGTGTTGCCGAATGTGAAATTTTCAGCTCCGCCCGTATCCTTCCTCAGCATCGCATTTGTAAGGACAGGCGGTTCTCCGCATACCACAGCTAAAAAAAATGTTCGATATTTACACTCGCAACAATTACATCGCTATGCGTCAATTATGTTCGCTTGTTCGCTGGAAAAGTCAAGTTAAAGAGAGAAACAAAAAGCCGGGAAGTTCATTTATAATTCAAGCCAACAGTTCAGAATATTAGAAGAAGCAATCGGACGTACCTTCGCAAAAAGGTAAAGTAGACCAGGTGCCGTTGGACAAGCAGATTGATTCTTTGCTACCCTGAAGAACGTATCCGTGACGACACTTGAAAGCGACGACACTGTCCGTCGCCTTGCGATCAGTAATGTCGATGTCGGTGTTATTACCGTTATCGATATACCCGTGTTCTGGTATCTGAACGAATTAAATCTTGAAAGAATACTCAACATTTCAATATAATTTTTTATAATAATAAAAAAATTGAGAAAACTGTCGTAAAGGAAATTAACATTTCTATTTTTAAACCAAAAGTTTTCTTTATATTTTGTAATTTCTTCCGTAATTTATATATATATATATATATATATATATATATATATATAACTTTTATTTAGATTATAATTTTACTGAGATAAATATTACTCGAATAAAGCAGTTTCTTTTTTCAGCGTCTGTTTGATTTACCTGCGGCGGCGCGCACGAATCATCGCAGATGTGCAGCGAATCGTCCAACAGCTGTTCGCTCAACACATATCGCTTCAGCGATAAATTCAGGACCTCCCATTTCGCGGTCTCGTTGCAAATCCATGTTACATTTGAGGTAGTCACATTGGCAATGACATCGTTCAAGTTCATCCGCGTGCGTTTATCGCGACACGCTAAGATCATGCGTTGCCCGTAACCGTTCCCCTCGACGAATATCTCGAAGTTCTTATACGTGATATTCCCCGCGCTGTTCCACTCCCCGTCGACCTCAAGTTGCACCGCGTTCGCGTTGTTTCGAAAAACAATTTCGGTCTCGCTCGGTTTTTTCAAGAATTTGAAAATCGGATGATCCCCGAAGGAGCAATTGCGAGGTTCGCAGGAAACGGCGAGCGGAGACCAATTTTCTTCCTCGGTGCATCTTCTGCTATCGTTTCCGATTAATTCGTACCCCGGATTGCAGACAATGACGAGCTCCGCACCGGAAACGAGCATTTCCGGGGTAACTCTCCTCGCCGTTGTATCCTCGCTGTTTTTCCCCGAATAATCGTTATCCATTGTGTCATTTTTCACTGGAATTTTCACTGTGGTATTGCCTCGCTGTTTGAGAAAGATTTCCGCATTTTCCACGTGCTCCGGCCAAGGGCATACGCGTGGTACGCAATCGCGAACGAAGCCCGTCCAAATACCGTTATCGGAACACTGGAGCTTGAATTCTGTCGACGAACTGTTATCCCCATGGAGTTTGTAGCCTTCGTGGCAGGAGAAACTAACGATGTCGCCGTAATGATACGTCCTTCCCGAGGAATCATCAATTGCATTCCCCTCAGGATCGTAAGTAAACGTTCCATTGTCAGGCTTGTCGAAATTTGGGAAGCTGATGTACCCGTACTTTATTCTACGTTCGCAATATTAAATCATTTTAAACATTTGACAAACGGAAATTGTAACATATGATCTTTTACTTCTTTGCTTTCCCTGTAAACGCTTAATATTACTTAATATTAAGTTATATTTCTGGAATATTAATAGATGTTTATATATCAACTCCTAATAATATTTAAAAAATAATATTATTTAATGTTATTGTAATATGTTTTTTTAAATATGCAACTCTATATATGTATATAATATATATAATTATCATTTTTTCACTTTCAAATATATTGCAATACCAATTCTTTTATTATATAAATAAAGTCGAAAGAATTTTATGTAAAAATACGTTTTATACTCAAAAAATTATATTATTTTTTTTTAATATTCTAATATATTATACTCAAAAAATTATATAATTTTTTTTTAATATTCTAAGAACATTTTTATAATATGCCAAGAATATCATGTGAAGTGGACATATAACATCAAACATTCTTATAATATTAAAAAATGTTACATAACATTTTTAGAATATTATAAAAATATTACTTTAATATTGAATTATTTTCATATAATATCCCAGGAATATTACGCGCTTATAAAATTTACTTTTAGTTCGATTTGAAAGTAGATCTTACACAATAAAAAAACATTTTAAACCGTGTTAAAAATTTTGCGCTGAATTCTCAATAAACGCACCGTTTCGGAGGCGGACATCCATAAAGTACACAAGATGGCCTGTCATGATCCCAAATTCCAGTTTCTAAGCACGTTAAATACTTCTCTCCCGTCAAACGATATCCATAATTACATTTGAATTCCAATTGTTGTCCAGCCTGGAGCAATTAAATAATTAAAAGTGAAGACGCTGTTAGTTTTACGGTACATATTTTTCTCTTGCGAAGAGTGAGGAGACACACACCTGCAATATCGTAATGTCGTCTCTTTCATTTTCCTCCAATATATAATCTATATCACCATTTTCTGGGGCGAGCAAGTTTTTACACGTCGTGCCTATCGTAAAACAAGTCAATGAGATATTTTCCAAGTCTAAACGTTCATACGCGCCTTCGTTTGCATAATGTAACGGAAGTGAGCCAAGAGTTGCTGTGAATAACCGTCCCCGACTCGTTGACAAAAGTGGACGAATTTTAATTTTAATAGGAATTAAGTTTTAATAGGTAGAAGTCAAGACCAATTCAATTAATCCGACATTCGATGTCATGAATTCGTTGTGTTTAGTTTATCCGCCGATCGATACACTTCGATTTCATATAACTTACCTATGCAAATCGGAGGTACTCCTATCCACTTCCCGTCGGAATTGCAAACTCGATGAGGGCTGCCCCGAAGCTCATAACCGTTGGCGCAAAAGTAAGATATTTTGTCTCCGAACATGTACGACCTGCCCTGAATGTATCCGCGTGGAAAGTTACCCGGGAAGCCGCATTTGATCTCTTCAGCGGGAAATTTATTATAAAACCAACACGCTCTCGCTTTCTTCGAAGAACATATTCACAGCATGTCCGTTATCTCCGCTTCCTTTCTTACGCTAAATTAATCGGCAAAGTGAAACTCACTCGTGCAGATCGGTGTATCGTATCCTTCCCACTGGCCGTGCTTGAGGCATCTCCTTTTAAAGGATCTGTATTCCTTGCCGCCGAACCGAATCACGTAGCCGTTGTCACAGTAGTACGTTACCTCCGACAGGTCCTCGCTCACATTGAAGTTACCTTTGAAGGGCACCACGGGTAAAGGGCAGCCGCGACAAAACGGGCTGGCTAACATCTGAAGGCGTCGCGACGGTCACTCAAAGTCTAAAATCAGAAGAAGAGCTTCTCGCAGCTCGACGAGGTATAATTACCGAGACGTCGCCGTGAATGTATTGTCGCAGGTGCGCCCATGCTACAAGATTCCCGTGATACTGCTCGCAACTATTCCACAACATGGTGATATTGCTGTCGTCCAAGACAGTGTCCCACATGTCCAGCAAGCTAAGCTTTCCCAGGAACGCTTCCGACTCGGAGAAACCACCACCTACACGGTCCTGCTCTTGCCCGACAACAAGGGACCCGTTGGCTGGCCGGAATGATCAGAATATGTTTCCATCTTATTTTATATTTCATTTTTATGAATTTTTATTAATTTCATTTTTGTTAATTTAATTTATATTCACACATTTTGTTCGTTTTATTTACATTTTATTAATCTTATTAATTTTATTTTATTAATTTTATTTTATTTCGTCTTATATGCATCTTCTTATTTATCTCGTTATTTTTATTTTCATTTTATTTATTCTCTCTTTAAATTCAGATTCAAGTAAGCTGATTCAAGTAATGACTGTGCTTGTTACCTCGTATGACGGTTCCCTGGGCTAAATTAACTCCACTGTCCTTGAGAATTCCATCGACAAACACACGCCAAAAACCGGACTCGTTTTCCCAAGTAACGCATAAAAAATGCCAGTAACCGTCATTAACTTTGATATCGGTTACGACTTTCTCCCCGTTAACGTACAGAACAAATCTGCAATAATGTTGCTTCTCTAAGAAGTTCGCTTGCACAAACGTGTGCTAAGATAATATTTTGCGTCAAGAGTTATCGAAGCTCTTATTTGTAATTTCAACAACACATTCGAATGTTCCGTCAAATGTAACAATATTGAAATGTAATATTTAATTGTTATTACCCATTGTAATCCGTTAGAGTGAAAGCATTATCGTGGAGTACCGTTGCATATGATAACACCGTACCGTAATTGAAGCTGTCTATCGAATGTAACCATAGGCAAACAGATAACTGCAATTCATATCGCACTCATAGAATTATTGCATTCAATATATACAAAATATTTTTGTTGAATAACGCAGCATACTAATAATTCGCTGGACTTGTATTGCGCAATTAGAAGATATATATTCATATTGAAGCCAAAATTTATATATGACAGCAATATATTCTTCGTGTATAAGTAGACATTTACTTGTATATGTTAAAACAATTGCAATAAATATTAATTTTATAGTCGATATATCGAAAATACCAGAATTCTTTTCTTAGAAAATATTTACTGAACTTATCCTAGTTGAGCAAGACTATTGTGATAGTTGTTCATGAATATTTACATCTTCGAGAAAAATTCTCTGCATGTAATTTCTCATTCTTTAGCTTAAGTACCTGGGGAAGATCCTTTGTAAGTCCTTTCATGATAACGTAGTCCGTAGTGCCAGATTTGGTAAAATGCATCGTATAATCAGACGATAATTCTACGAATGGCACGAAAATATTCCCAATTAATTTCTCTCTCTCTCTCTCTCTCGCAAATTTTTTCTCCCATATTTATCTAAAGTTATGTTACTCAAGAAATCGAGTTTCAACTCACCCGTTTCGCAATCGCGTCCTGCAAAGGGAACAGGACAGTCGCAGGTGTAATTGTGAACGTGGCTGATGCAATTCCCGTTGTTTAAACAAGGCGAACTTTTGCAGTGATCGATCTTGGTCGCGCAGTCCTCTCCTGTATATCCTTCGGGACACTCGCATCTGGACCGGCCATACGTACATGCAATTTCACGTACGATCAATTTCCAATCGGACGCGAAGCGCTAAGTTACCTGTAACTTCTTCGCGTCGCGTTCGCCTCTTTGATGTTGACACAGATCGCATTCGCATGACACGGCAACCAGTCGCAGGGTAACAAGTTGCAATGACGTCCCAAGAATCCGGGCTTGCAGAAGCACTTCCAGGTGCCGTTTATGGTACGGCACGTGGATCCTTCCTCGCAGGGCATAAGTTCGCAGTGATCCATTGAGATTTCGCAAAACTGGCCTAAATAATACAGCTCGAATAATATGTTATATTCTACAGCAGGAGAAAAAAATATTTAAAAGATAAAAAATATTTATTCGGTGTATGCAGCAACGAAAAATTCAGTTATTTCAATGGAATTGTTTTTTCCCTACAAATGTACTTTTGCAGAAGCATATATTTTTATTTCTGTCATTACAAGCGTATTATCTCTATTTTTACTCTCGCGAAAGTACATTCGATATTACACAGAATGTTAACACATTGCGGACGGATGACGAGATATCTCGTCTTTCCTATTTCGTCGTTAGGGGCCGGATGACGAGATATCTCGTATTTCATATTGCGTCGTCAGAAGCGAAGACATACCCGGCTACTGGGAACGGTTAGCAATCAAATGTCTGGTCCGCAATGTGTTAACAGAACTATAAAATTCATAGAAAATAGACAAATGTAAGAATGGGTATCTGGAAAGGAGAAGAGCAGAAGAAAAATTCGTCATAAATGTATCAGCAGGAAATTGTACCTTCAAATCCATCTTTGCAAACGCAGACAAAATCGTTTTCGGTGCTTACGCATCTTCCATCGTTTTGACACGGATTAGCAGAACATTCGTCCACATAAATCTATATAGAACAAGCGAGGATGAAAATTTACTCAAGCAAGTTCATTTTTATCGATATTGTATGTTTAGAATTGATCGTATGCCATTATGAATATATGTGTTTAAATGCGTTAGCTTACCTCACAATTGACTCCTGTATAACTGTTCTTACACGTGCAATTGTACGTTATAGAGTTATTGTAATGTTTTTGTATTTTACACGTCCCTTCGTTCAAACATGGCGATGAATCGCATGGATTTATAAATTGTTCACATTTCGATCCTAAACGAGTAAAAAAATCGCGAAGGAAATATTATGTGTAAATATTTGTAATAAAAAGTAGCACTTTATATAATTAGCAGGTGCTAATCAAGAAACAATCCATATGTGTGTGTGTGTGTGTGTATGCATTGTTTCTTGACCAGCATTTATAAATTGCATAAAGTGCTACTCTTTATTACAAATATTTATATGTAATATTTGCTTCGCGGTTTTTTTATGTATATATGTATGTATATATACAGGGTGTTCCAGTTCTCGTAACTTTTTATTTTACCGAAAAATTCCCTATATATGTTACGTACTAATAAAATAAGAGAAAAATTAAAATAAAGTGCCATATGTAAAAGAAATAAGTAATTTGACCCGATATTATTGTGTCACTTGTTACAGTTGCACAATTGCATCTTACCTATATAATATTCTTGACATGCACAAACGAAATCACTTTCGGATTGAAGACATCGGCCTTCATTCGCGCACGGATCTACCCGACAATCGTCAATTTCCTTATCGTACGGTGGCAAACAATGTCCGACGTCCGTCGAGCCGCGTTTTTCCGTCGTTGTATTTAATGGACACGGCAAACACTGAGTTTGCCCATAATTTGGTTGATAAAAGCCAATGTCACACGTAAAACAGGGCTCCATGGCCACGCCCGAGCCTTGATAACGTTTCCGTCGGGAATAATATCCTGCTCGGCACACGGCTATAAAAAAGGATACGTATATACACACACACACACAGAGATTTTTAGATTTGTGAATACTCACGACTTCGCAAATTTCTAGACGAAAACTAAAGAAATGCAAAAAAAAAACATTGGCGCTTTTCGTATATACAAAGTATATGAATAAATCTATTTACTAAAGGAAATAAATATATTCTGTAATATATTTAAAACTCTATATAGCCGATTAGTCTTACGAATGCAATCTCTTAAAGACTTTGCATGCATCCTCTTCGTGAAGGTATGTTCTGGACACGGTCTGCACTTCAATGAAGCACTCGCGTTCTGGTACTGTCCGAATGGACATGGCTGGCAAACTTTAGCGGTAGCATTGTGAAAAGTACCCGTGGGACATTTCACTGGAAAGACAGCGAATTCAAATATTGACGTAAGGTGACGCATGTTATTATTACGAATTTATCTATCTTTCTTAAAAAAGCGCATTATCTCTTGTTCGATTCGTGTAATGTTATGATAATATATTATAGTAGTATAGTAATTCATTTGTATATGTAATATGTTCTAATTATTAATTATTTCTAATTATTATTTTTCAATTGAAATTACCGTTCGAAGTAATCGTTTGTAATGTTCTAATTATTTATAATTGAATTCAATTTTGGACCATTATTAATTTTTTTTTAATTATCTTCAATTAAAATTATTATATACGATAGAAAATGTGCAGAACTCACCACAGCTGTACTTCCTGAGCACGCTGCCGGGATCGCAGAGATCTTCAGGCTCTTTAAATACAAGATGCAGGTTCAAGGCGAGCTTCGCGATTTCTTGATTAGTCCGATTGTTAAGCAAATCCAATTTCCCAAGCTGCATCATCGCCCCGATCTTCTCTCGTAGCTTCTGCACTCCCCGCTTCGGATTTTCAAAATTCTCATTGATTATTCTACCTGGGAAGATTTCACAGTGCACTATTCGAGCGTTGATTTTTTTTACCTAGACGCGCGAATACGAGGCGCATTTACCTATAAACTTGAATTTAATCTCTATCCTCTCCCTCTTTCGCTTGGGTCTAGTTTTGTTCCGATAGGAGTCAGAATTAAATTTGATCATACGTTTCAATCTTTCGGCCATTGTCGTACGATTGTTTCTGGAAATACTCGTGGATCGAACAAGATTATTATCGGGGCGGCGCTTTCGTCTTCTTATCAAGTTGTCACCGAAATTCTCCGACGACGAGGATAAATCGCCTTTGCATTCAGGATCGAAGTCGATTAGATTACATTCGATGTCATTGCCGCAAATATCGTTCAACTTTAAGTTCAAATTGTCGTTGATGTGATTACTTAACTGCGCACAGGGGAAAACAGTATAAATTATGTCGCTCTATATCAATAAAATAGAAGTAACTTTACCGTTAATAATAGACAATATTAGTAGTGCTATTAATAGTAATACTATTATTATTATTATTATTATTATTATTAGATAATTATCAAAAAAATACAAATGCTCACTTCATGGAAGGTTTGATTGTCACATATCGTGTTTTCATTACTTTGTAATATCACGCTTCCTTCTTGAGATATCGTCTTTGGTGCTTGTGTTTCTGTCGGCAGTTAAAGTTACAATCCAATTAGGATGATTAATAGATTGATCATTCCCAACGAATTTACACAAGAATTTACGCAAGAAAATAAAAGTACCTGAACATTCCGGCAGTCTGTTGTCTTCCCACGTGTGATTGCCCAAATTACATTTCAACAGCAGTTCGTCGTTAACAACATTGAAATTCATTGGTTCGACGGCAAAACCGTAGCCGTCGTTGCAAGCCACAACACATTGTGTCTCGCGCTCGCCCGTCAAGGAACAATTTAACCAGCCGTTAACAGGTGCTCTTAAACTTTCGCACACATCTAACAAGATTTGCATGATGCAGAATTAAATGTGGACTTTTTGTGATTTTCGGGAACAAGCTCGTTTTAGGCATATTATGTGTTATTGAATAAAATAACTTGTCGCACAACGCACAAGTAAGTCTACCTTACTTAATGTGGCTTTCAGGTTCAACGCTGTGTCCTCACATAGCACACTTTATCCTGAGGATATCTCAAGTTGTCCCAAATACGATCCCACAGATATCCCAGTGTCCTAATGTCCGATATTTCTTGAACTTCCTTGAGATATCTTTCGGATGTTTAAGATATCCGTAGGATATCACATAGGTGGATCTGCAAAACTTTTGCAGAAAAGCCAACGGATATCTAATACCATCTTAGGATATCCGATGGTTATTACCGATATCCCAAAATAATGTTCATAGGACGTCCTTCGGATAAAGTTTCTTGGATTTGTTTCCGAATGTTTCGCGAACATTTCAGTTTCGTTTCCTCAGGATGAGGAACGGCCGGAAACCGCGAAGAAGCGAACTGAAATATTCACAAAACGTCGGAAACAAATCAAGTGAGGGGAGTTTACTTGAAAACCACATTAAATATTTCTCCATACCGCGAGAGAGTTTAAAATATAAGTATACCTTCCACTGTGATATTCAGCACACAATTCGCCAGATTGCCGTACTTATCGGCAGCACTGTAGAGGATTCTCGTTCGACCGATCGGAAAGACACCTTCGCCAGGTCGATGGCTCTGATTAACTTGCACCGAGGCTTTCGAGTTGTCGTAAAAGACAGGTTCTTCCCACACCACGTTCTCGAGGCCCTCATCGAGATCGGTGTAAAATTTAGGCGGATCGTTGCAATTCTCCACCGTCGGTGGTTCCCTGTCTGTATATTCATTTCATGAACACTTCTTGCGCTCGAATTTCAGTAGCAATTTATCAACTGACTTTTGATTCCATTTTAGGACACACTCAGGTAGGAGAGAGACGTCAAGAGGACGACATATTTTGGTTATGAGCGAAGCAAGATATCATAAATCGGATCTAGACGACATTTGTGACGTCTAACTGACGACGCAAATAGGACCAATGCAGGATAAAACTACCGATTATTTAATACCCACTTACTATAGAATTTATCCATTGATATCATTTACGCAAAAGTAATGTTTTATCATCTTATTTAAATAATTAAAAAAAACCTGTCATTTCATTTTAATGTCACTGCATCTTCATAGAGATAAAATATAGACTGGAAGACAAATGCAGGAGGTATTTACATTTATTTAAAGGAATAAAATATTTCATCCATTGGCCATCTTTGATATGACGTCTTTAATTGGCTCGAAATACGACGCACCATAAATGTCCATCATTAGTCAACGACGGCGTAGATCAAAGACGATCAGAAATGGACGTCAATATGACGTCCTCTGACGTCAGCCTCCTACACGGGACTACAATAACGTACCAAAAACTTTGACCTTGAACTTGCACCTAGCTTTGTTCCCGCTCGCATCCTGCGCTATATACACGACAATACGCGTGCCGATTTTCACCTTCCACGGTAAAGTGACGTGCGGTTTCGTCCACACGATGGGCGATTCGTCCGCGTTGTCGGCCACCTCCGGTGCCGACCAGTTTACATACGCGTAATTCTGACCCTTTGCGGTATGCGTGACGATGTCGGCCGGACACATTATGGAAGGCGGCACTTTGTCTGCGTATTACAGTTAATGCGAAAAAGCAGAAGAGAAGCAAAAATATCCGCGATAATGATGTTAATAGTGGGTGGGGAAAGGATGCGTCGTACGTATCAACATAGATATATCGTAATCGGGGGAATTGAGAGTTCAAATGATGATTTCAATTCGATACTAACCCACACATCGATTAACACTATGACGCTGCGACCAGATTCCCGTATGTCCACTGCACAACCTGCTGGAGGGCCCTATCAGAACGAAACCTTTGTGGCAGCTGATCGTGCAGTTAATGGCGAAAGGGACCTTCACCGCATCGGAACATATCTCCGGGGTGATATCGCCATTCTCGATTTTCGGCAGAGGCTCGCATTTCACAGCTACCACGATGATATTCTTGTTAATTGTGACTCGTTACATGGACAGAAATAATTTAGGGGGACAGCCCGATTTTATGCTTCGCTTTGTAGAAAAATATTCGTACAAGCATTTGCTCATTTTTTCATAAAACTATCCCGAGAGTCGACCGCTAAAATATTGGAGAGTACTTAAGAAACATCGTGTATATTCATTTACTTGATATTTTATATGCGTTAAATAACTTAACACTGCGCGATCCACGAGAGATACGAAGCTATCACAAGTTAACATTTATGGATTTTATAGCGCAAAAATACATACACGATTGATAAAAGATCTAAGACCGGTATTCATAGTCGGATCTTATGTATAAAATCGTCTTAAGTTTATCTTCAGAACAGCTCGTTTCATTGGTTACGAAGCATCCGAAGGTAAACTAAGGCTGTCTTAAATACAAAATCCGAGTATGAATACCAGCCTAAATCTTGACAAAATGAGTCTGAACGCTTTAATTTTAATGATTAATGTTCTTCTTTCGCGACGGCTCTGTATAAATCGCGGACAACGCGGAATGTTTGAACGGTAGACGCATCATTTTTACCTTTGCAAGTGACTTTCAGACCATCCCACCGTGACAAAGGTAAGCAATTGCGCACTTTACTACCGCGTAGCTGGTAACCAAGGTCGCATTTGAACTGGCAACGAGTGTCGATCGGATAGATCGTGGAATCTTCCTTAAACTGTTTCTCTTTAAACTGGTAATCCTCGTCGTGTTCGCATTTCATGTGGCCGTGCGCGGGTGCACGGATCGCCGGACACGTCTTTACTGCAACACGTGTCTTCACCATTTAAGCCTTGTTTTCTTTTTTCTTTTCTTTGAAGCGTACATTTATCAACGTTAAAGTTAAATGAAATTTATTTAAAAATAGCAGATTGTGTGTGTATATGTGTTTGTTAGAAAGAATATTCACTATTTTCTCAAGCGCGCTTATGTTAAGTTTTTGTAAGTACTCTGTTTTACTGTGCGTTGCGAAAACTCCAGTCGTTCCAGTTTGATGTTAAGCTTCTCCGGGTTATCTCTTTGAAATTTCTACGATTACTCACACAAACATTGCGGCTCCTCACCGGACCAAGAGCCATTCTTCCCGCAAAGTCGAATGCTGTCCCCCGTGAGATGAAAGCCGATCTTGCATCTAATACCGCAGGCCGCGTGTACCACATTACTGCAGGCACCAGCCTTTACCAGATAACCGTTATCGGGTACTCTTAACTTTGGACACATTATTGCTGAAAATGGCACAATAACGGTGGTTTAAAATATCAGTTTCAATAAATCTGAAACAATGATCGTTTGATAACCGCTTGAAATATCAGGATAACAGCCAGCTGAAACGTTTCGATCCTTTACGTTTTAAAATAAGTATCTTAGCGGCGAATCTTAGCGTAATATTATTTTTTTAATATTATCAGGAGTGGACATATAACCATCTATTAATATTCCAGAAATATTACTTAATATTAAATAATATTACTAGAATATTATTAGAATGTTACGTCTAATATTCTAAGAATATGCTCAGAGTGTTGCTTAATATTAAATAATATTACACGCTCGTCGGGATAACAGTAATCGGGACTGACGACGTCGCGAACATTCGCGTATACGGCATTACCTTCGCATTTGAGGCCATCCGTGGTAAATCCGGAAACACACACACAGTCGTTCACTGAGATCGCGGGTACTTTAACGGTGACATGATTCACATCCGGACAAGGTATGCATGCGGATGTGGAATCTCCATGAGCGTTCTTCGAAGCGTACGTTCCATTCTGACAAGCTGTTGAGCGAGGATAACGAAAACGTCTAATTAAAATCACAAGTGCTGTTTGCACAATGAAAAATTGTGTCTGCGCGCTAATTTGCTAAACATAAGCAAGCAATATCACATATTAGCGACGTTTCTCTCCTATTTACGATTTTAAACCGGAGAAGATCATTACAATTTCGAGCAACGAATTAATTTACGCAATAGTACTTCGGGATAACATCGATTCCGCATCGACGATTAACCTACGTTGACAAGCCCCTTTGAGACCGGAACCGAAATAACCAGGTGGACAGATGCAAGCGTAATGGCCGGTTGCGATGCCACAGGTGCAAATCGCTCGGTTGTCGCAGCAAGTTTCATTCATCGTGCTCTCCGTGCATAAGCTGTTGCAATCGGTGGGCAGAGTCACGGGCACATATTGTCCGGTTTTTAAATCTAGAAAAAAGAGGCGTCCAGTTTATTGTTCGAAACGATTTCTCGGTTTACACTCGCCTTGCGAGGTATTTCAGAACAAAGGAGAAGCGAATTCTCTGTTGAATGCGCACCACGATGCAAGGCGTGACGCGCCAGAGCTTCGAACTCCACGAAACTGTCGAGGAGGTAGCTGTGCGTGTATCCGGGAAAACTCGCGATGTCATGCAGCTCTTCCACGTTTCCCGTACGGATACCGAACGTGAACACCGTGGCACCTGCGTTCTTCAAGAGATCGGCGGCGGGTCGCGGGTCACCACCGTTGCTAAAGCCATCGGTGATCAGGAACACCACTTTACTCGCAGTCTCGCGGCTTTTCTTGAGAATTGCCTTCGAAACAGCGGATAAGTTAAGCGCAGTTTCTAAAATCCGCGTTTTACAATCTCTCAGCTGCTTTTCATTATGTTTGAATTGGCGATAGAACAAAATATTAGAAGATATAAAAAAATCTCGCGGACATTCCAGTTGATTTCTTCAGAGAAAGGAACAACCTGAACCAGCTTAAGGTTGTTCCTCTATCTGAAGAAGTGAACTGGAACGTTCGCGAAACGTCGGGAACAAATTCGCAAGGAACGCGGCACCAATCTGGGGTCCAGAGCGAACAATAATGAAGAGTGTTGGAAGAAAAAACGCAGCAGGCGGAATACTCACCAGTGCGTCGAGAAGCGCGCCACGCGTGTAAGTTCCACCGCCGCTGTAAGCGATCTTGTCGAACTGTTTGTTCAGCAGGTAACATTTGTGATCGTTCTCCCCGTGTCTCGAGATCTGATCGACATTGCGCGTCACGTTCTTCGGACTGCCAAAGGTGATGATCGCGACACGGGCGGCCGTCGCGTCCACCGTGAAGTCCGACAGGAGCTTCGTCACAAAATTCAGCTCGCTGCGGAAATTCTCCGCGCCTACCGAGCCGGACGCGTCGACCAGGAACACCAGTTCTATCTGGCACGATTTCAAATGAATCGTTCGTTCGTTCATAGTTAAAATCGCGGGTCATTAGAAGACTAGATGACTGATCGTTGCTATTGAAGTATGCGATATTTCTCTAACACGCTTCGTTAAAATAGGAAAGAAGGAAGGATGTGTTAAAGAGGTATTCTTATTTGGGACGTCTTTTTGTATAAGTGATTTTTAGATATCTTTTTTTAGAAACACACAATTCTGTGAGACACACAATTCTGAAGTGTTGCGCAAACATTTATCTATGTTTCGATTATATACGGTAATTTCTGTATATTATTTTATCTCTCTTGTGGACATATAACATTAATAAAACATTCCTGAGAACGTCCGAAATCGTGTCGACCAATCTTTCGCATTTAGCGCTGATGAAATGATTTATAACTTTATTATTATTAAAAATAATGCGTAAAAATTATTATTAAAGTATCATAGCTGAAGCATAGATAAGTATTAATCCAAAACTTCGGAATTGTATGTCGTACAGTTTTTTTTAACAAAATTTCCCTAAAAAATCACCTACAAACGAAGCATTCTAAAGGAGAAATTCCCCCTCGAAGAATTATCCTTTCTTTATCTACCTGATTGGTCTGATTTCGCAATCGGTCTATATCGAACTTCAGACGGCGGGACAGAATATCGGTTTTGCTTTTCAGCATTTTGTCAACGTCGTCCAGGTGCTCGTACCAATAACGCCGATCCTCGTTCCTCTCTCGATTGATATTATTCAAGAACGTCGACGTTACATTCTCCCAATTCGTGCCGGTTCCCAAGCTGCCGTTCGTTCCGTTAGCGGCCACGTCGGTGCATTTCGCAAAACGTACAGATAGAACAAACGCTCCGATCGCCGGTAATAGGATCTTTGTGAAAAAATCCATCGTTACACGCTGGATGGATCGTCACTACCGGAGAGCGAGAGACTTCCCGAGAGATCGTTTTGTTATCGCGCTGTGCGGCCGAGAGTTAGAAACACGCGAGCGGCTTCGAGGAGATGCATCTTTCTCAACGTTCACCTAGCGAGAAGTCGAACTCTCGCTCGTCGATAAATTAAATAAAACGTGTATATCCCTAATGAGAGAGAGAGAGAGAAAGAGAGAGAAAGAGACTTTATCAGTTGTCTAGAAGGCCGGAGACGCGCGTCATCACTCTCGCGTGAAAATTATTTGCGCGTGTACTTGCGTTGTAAAAGCACATCGGACAAACTGATCGGTCGCGCGTCGAGATGAAGCGCTACTACTGGAGCCAACACGAGCACCAGAATCACATTAAAGAGTTGAAATGCGAAAACACACGAGAGAGAACAAAGGAGCCTCTGTTCGAAGTTCCTCGAGTGGTGCGCACGTGTTCGTCTAAGTAGTCAATGGCTCGCATCTTCGAATAATTCCGTTCAATCTCCGGCTGATATGATATGGATCCGGCTGATCGATCCCCATTGGATTCGCCGGCTATGTGTGTCTCTCGTTGTCTCGTACTGACGTAACGTACATGTGAACATACCTACTATAATATTCCTAGAATATTGTATGAATATTATTCAATATTAAAATAAATTCTTATATTTTAAGAATTTTATGTAATATTTTTTAATATTATAATGTTCTATGTCCTTAATGTTATATGTCCACTTCATATAATATCCTTGGCATATATATAATTTTTTTAGTATAAAATGTATTCTTACACAAAATTCTTTCGACCTTATTTATATAACAAAACAATTGGTATTGCAATATATTTGAGATAAAAAACTAGTTATATGTATTATATATATATTCACATAGAGCTGAATATTTAAAAAAATATATAATATTACAATAATATTAAATAATATTATTCTTTAAATATTATTAGGAATATAACTATCTATTAATATTTCAGAAATATTACTTAATATTAAATAATATTACGCGCTTATAGGAATTTAAATACCGCACATATATAAGCCACCACACACGAGAACGGTTTTATATGTATTAATGAAAAGGTGGATATAAAATTAGTATTTTTTTATTTTTTACAGTTTTCATACATATATACACATCGTACATATGTATTAAACTTTTGGACAAAATGCAAATTTCAAATGTAAATTCAACGGGATATTTCATATTTAATTTTCACATATTTTTTAATTAGCTCACAGTACGCAGACTGACGTACACGTGATTAACACTTCGATCGGTATTTTTGACTGTGAATGATTTTCAATCAATGTCGAAAACCATAGTAACTCTGATAACAAATATCAGAGCAATCATACCAATTCCTGTATATGAATTTCTTCTGAAATATCTTTATACAAAAGTTGTATAAGCAAATGATTATTACACAGAAAGACATGAAATATCAGAGATATGTACCGAATATGAAATAAAATTCAAATGTATGATAAGAAACGATTGATTACAGACTAAGAAGTTACATATTTGGGGAAAAGTCGACATACATTTTTCAGAATACTCGAAATATAAATGAAACAGACAGTTATTTACAATTGAGATTCATTCACGTTACCACTTTCAGAATCACTTGAATCGTTACTTTCGGGATTGCTGAAGTCATCGGAGTCAAGATCGCTGGCACTGCTGGTAGAACCGCTACTTGACGTTGTAATTCTCGTTAAGTTGTTTCCAGAATCCGTTTCGTAATCTGTATCAGTACTGTCCGTTGAACTTGAACTGCTCGATGATAACCTGCATCTATACATAGAGTTAATATGTAAAAACAAAGTAGAAATGGTTGTGGTAATAAAGGCTTATATTTTCTGTACGTTCTTGCCAACTATTACTATATATATAATACATATCTTATTACGTATAATCATTTTATAATATAATTACATCTGCACGACATATATACTTGTTTGCGGAACGGTCTAAACATATTTTTTCTCAATAAAACTAGGAGTGTACGATCAAGAAAAAAATTAGACATTATATGTATGCATCATGAAAGGTAATGCAATTAAAATCGGAACGTAGCAATTGTGTACAAATTGCAAAGAATAAATAAAAAGTGTTATAAAGGCGCGTTCACACGTTTATATGTTAAAAAGCATTAAATATATATAGCAAGTTAATTGATAGGCTAGATATATTAAAGTACTTACAAATGTTTAATAAGCTGTCTTTGCTTAGCATGGTACATATTCTTTGACCTTTAAAGTAAAATTATATTAGATACATAAAATATATTAATATAATAGAATATGAAATAATTATAAAGGAGGGAGGAAAAGGAATATAGTCTGCTTACTTCTCTTCTTCAGTATCTTCAAGAACCAATCCATCCAATTCATCAGTTGTCTGATGAATCATATTTGCTATAACAAGTTTACCATGAATATCGTAACCTATTGATTCCAGTCCCACTAGGTCGAATCCTATATTTGTTTTGTCAGGACTAACCTACGTAATTAATCGAAATATACATAAAGATAAAATATTAAATATATGAGTATATGAAAAATATAATCATTTGTAAGGAACTTACGTTGTTTAGAGTAGTTTGAAGTGACTCTATTAAAGACTCAGAACACTGTTGCAACCATATTAAAAAATCCTTTATATATAGTTGATTTAATATGTACCGTGGTTCATATGACGTATTGAAAATATTATGTATTTCACAGAAGCGTTTGATAATGTATTTCTTTCCTGCACATGAAAATTTCTAAAATAGTAAAATCTTGCTGATATATATTTGTACATGGCTCTATCCAAATTTATGCTCACCTAATTTGACAACTTTTTGGACATCCTCAAGAACTTTCACAGATAGATTCCAATTTCTATGAAGAGGATAACAAAACGACCTTCGGAAACACGCTGTTATAACTTCATCTATCGAAGTGAAGTCCTAAAATTATTTAATAATTTTAACGAAATTAATTAATTTTTACGTTTTACTTTTCACATACCTGAAACCAACACAATGTAGAACTGAGCTTGTTAATTGTCCAGCCACTTTCCACTGTATTTTCTCCTAAAGTTGTTCTATGATTGTAACAACTGGCATATAAGATATCAACAAGATTTAAACATAGCTTCTGGATATCTTCAACTTCTAATAAATATTCCTTATTTGGCAGTTCTTTCAACAAGTCAACTTCCACTTCGTTAAATGCAATTTGATCTTCCTGCAGTTTATCCCATTCTGCCACATATGCTATATGTTTATCACATTCCGGCTCAAAAAAATCTGCTAAGTAATGTTCTTCATTAAAATCTTTATTTTCGCGTAATTGCCGCAAAGTTTTTCTCTCTACTTCGGGAGTTGTATCAGGAGCAGGAAGATCTATTATATCTTTGATCCATACTGGCTAAATTTTAAAAAATATAAAATATATGTTATCCAATATATTAATACGATTAACCATTTAATTTAATATTATTAAACTAAAGGTATTAACTTATATTATGACCTTGATTTTTTTTAATCTTATACATGCTTGTTATGAAATAATTTATGATAAATTTAGTTATTTTATAGTTTATAAAAAATAAATTATAAAAACTTACTTCAAATGCAATTAAAGCTCCAGATATTTTATTTGCAAAGCCATACTTAGGAGAGTTTGCAAGAAGTGTTATATTTTCCAGAGGTTGTTTCTGAGAAATAAACCAGTCATTTCCTAAGTCAGCACCGCTTGACATATCGATATCTGCAATATCTTGTAAATTTCCATCTATACCTGCCGAACTTGTAGATGGATTACCTAAAATATAAAAATAATACTTTATATGTTAATATAATTCTTATGTGTTAATAACATCATATTATTACTTTCATATCATATTTAATGTTAAGTAACTCACCAATTACTTCAATGGAAGGAAAACTTTTGCTGTGTTTTTTTGGTGGTTCCAAAAGTGTAGTTACCATATCTAAATTCTCAAAGTACTCTCCTTTGTTTACCTTTGATAATTTTAAAGTAAAAATACCTGTATCACAATCATAAGAACCTGAGGACGAATCATTTTCTTCGATTTCACCTGGTAACTTCAATCTGCAAAATTAATTCAATGTATATATCCAATTTAGATCAAGATGATTATAGTACCATAAACACATAAGTCATTGTCATGTATATAAGTCATAGTCGTAGTTATAATATTGAAAACTCAGTATGGAAAAAACAATTTTTTAATCAATTTTTCATGGATATTTTCAATTTTTAAGTGAGCCAATTCTTGAATAAATTTAGTTTTTACATTTTAAAGTATATAAAATATGACTTTCAAGAGAATTTATGAATTTCAACCAGCAGAAAATTGACCAAATCATAAAGAGAATATTGAATGAATAACCTAATAATAAACAGTCCTAATTTGTTACTTACCTCAAAAAATATGGTGTGGAGTAAAATCTGAAGTCCGTTCCATCAACATATATCTCTGTGTCTTTTACATTCGTATACAGAGCATGTATAACTATCACAACTTCTGTATCCGTTTGAGTCAATTTAAATCGAGGAGTTAACATATTGTTGTGTTTGTTAACTTTATCGAATTATGTGCTTATTGTTGATCTCTGTATCTCAGTAAAAATAACAAGTACTTCTAAACTATAAAAATTGTATCAGTTTAAGACACAAAAGTAACTAAGAATTTCTAATGGTATATATTTCGAATACAGATACTTATATAATATAAAAGAAAATAATATTTTTATTAGCTTTTAATGTAGTTTAATACTATATTAATATACTATTAATATACTATATTAATACTATATTTACTGTTATTTACCTTTTAACCTATTTAGTCCTTCGTATACATTAAAGTTTGTTATTTTTAACTGCAGTCACTTCACTCATTTGTGATTACGGGCCGCTAAATTGCAAGCCTCCTACACTAATTGTAGGTTTTAATTGCACTGAAATTACATGCAACAAATGGTCTGTTCCTTATAGCTGAACTGGCTGCACTAGTTCAACAAATTCACATATAAGTTTTGTTCGTTTTCGCTGCACCGCTGAACTAATGCAATAAATTGAAGTGAGAAAACATATACTTGTCTCGCTTCAACTTATTGCACTAGTTCAGCGGTGCAGCGAAAACGAACAGACCCATAATTTTTCTTGAACTAGTGCAGCCAGTTTAGTTATAAAGAACAGACCAGAAGTATCTGTTTTCTATTGGACGCTTTCGTTAATGCCTGTTTGAATTAGTTTCCTCAAATTTAACGAATCAGAGCAAAATTCACTCAACCTCAAGTTTAGTTGAACCTGCTTTGATTGGTCAAGATTTCAATCCAATCTCAATTTCTAATCCGTGGTGTGACACAGGCTTTAGTAATCCGATCCGTTTGTCGTAAAAACCCAGACGATGTCCATATTGCATACTTTTACTAGAAGTACTCTATCTGGAGCCTGGCAACCCTGGTTGTACTGTAGATCTTTAATATGAAACAATCCGTACGTGCGCGCGGTTGGCCGATGTGCTTGGCTATTCGCGAAAATATAATACCGTCTGCTGTCCCATATATTCCGATTTTGCTTGAAGATATTCACCGGTACGTGTCCTTACCTGATTACGAGGAGAACTGTGTCAAGTCCGTGCAAACTATCGGCGAAATTGTACCTGGTTCAACACGGCTCACTCGGCTTCGCAGTATTTCGCCCGACAGCGATGTAGAAGTCACCCTTAGTCTGGAGAAGCTTCTAATACAGGATATATATTTCAAAGACGAAAAGGGAAGACGTCTGCCTATATGGGTAAAGAATTGTCTTCGTAGCCAACGAAATATTCTTTTGTTTTCCCTTGTTTTCACCGAGTTTCGGCTTAATTTGATATTTAATATGTTGACTGCCCAGCAAGTTTTATGTTCTATCTGCAATGACATTTTCACTGTCATAGGATAAAATAATAAAACTGTAGTATGATATATGATTATCCTTTTCATCCCTTTATCATACGCATGATATAATTATCTTACTAAAGGTCTTTGGAGATTTTTACATAATATTACTGAAAGGTCAAGTGTCAGTCATTCCCACAGCAGTTAACATGTTAAGTATGACATCTGGGATAAGATCCATTTAAAGGTACAAAGCTATATTTTAGAATTCTTGAAAAAAAAATTTAATATGTGAGCAATAATCAAATTGACCAACCACTGTTGTTCGTTGGAAGAATAATCGATCATGGTTGGCCAATTTGCTTATTGCCTATACTTGAAGCAAGATTGTGAACAAGGAGTATATAATTGATCTATGTCATCTTTTGCAGATTTGCAGTGTCAAGTGGATCCTATCCTTGCTATATTGCATTGTATTGTAATAAATATAAATGATACAGTTTGATATTCTATGTCTGAACTAATACTTTTATAATATTTTCTTTCTAGGAGAAGTTTTATATTGTTAAAGTTTTTGGGACTTTAGAACAGAAGGAAGACAAAGTCTTATTGATAGCTCATAAATTGTTAAAGGTTGAAGATGTACCTGGTAGTCTAAATACATTATCATTGTTATCTGCAGTAGCACGTCCTATGTACTATCAGTAAGTTTTCATCACACTTGCTGATTAAAACTAACATTTTCAGTAGAACGTAACCCATAATGGTAACAATATTGATATCAAGATCCAATATTTTGAACCTTAACTTTAAGTTAACTGAATAATGAACTATATTCTTCACAGGTACAAACAACTCAAATAGTACAAACATTCTGATGAATCTCTCCTATCTCCACTTCTGTGTGTGTGCCAACTGTGAATGTTGAGAACTACCTTTATCGCTCTGACAAGCTCATTGCCTAAACGAAACATGAGTATATTTATGCAATGTTTAAACCCTCTCACTGGCATCGCTACGTGGGAAGAGAAGGATCAATATTATGATTATCATCAGGAGGTAGCGAGGTCTGCATTTGCAGACATGCTACACGATCACGAGCGAGTTAATATCTCTTCTATCATTGTCTCGCATTCTCGATTACACGGCCATTAATCCATTCATATTCCTCGACAGAATGAGAAATATTACGTCGCTCTGAAAGCAGCTATCAAAAAGAAGCACCAGGCGGGAGAACAGGCTAATGTATTAGACATAGGCACTGGTACGGGATTGCTGTCGATGATGGCGGCCAAGTGTGGCGCCGACACTGTAGTCGCATGCGAGGTATACAAAGGGCTCTCCAATCTTTCTTCGATTTCCTCTGACATTTTTGTATCTGTAAATAAGAACCCTTTAGGCTTTCACACCAATGGCCAATTGCGCCGTGAGGATAATCAAGGAAAACGGCCTCGAGGACAAGATCAAGTTGATTCGCAAACGCTCCACCAAGATGACGGTCGGTAAGAACGGCGACATGCCAAAGCGGGCGAATATCCTGGTGACCGAAGTATTCGACACGGAATTGATCGGCGAGGGAGCTCTGTCGACATTCCGACATGCTCACGAAGTTCTTCTCGAGGTAACGCGGAACGAGTAATACAGTAGAACCTCTCTCAAGTGGACCTCTCTGTGTTTTTTGGTCCCGAAGCTTCTTCACTCCGGAGAGGCCCCACTGTATGTCTCGTCTTTCCGATATCCTGTTAATTCGAAATGTACGCTCATCGATTTCGCCTTGTCGTCTCAGGAAAACAGCATCGTCGTGCCGCACAGCGGGACTGTGTGGGCACAGGTGGTCGAGAGCTCCCGAGTTTGCGCCTGGAATCGAGTGAAGCCGATTCAGGACGGAAGAGATACGTTGGTGAACGCTCCGCCGGCTATCCAAGCGTGCTCCGGCGCGGCAGCGGTGCACGACATGCAGCTCTCCCGTATTCGTCGCGATGCTTTCGCGCCATTGCTAAAGCCGCAGCCTATCTTCAGGTAAATATCCCTTCCCGTGCTCCCACAACCCTTCGGGGATGTGCAACGTCGCGTTTGAATATAAAATTGTCAGCTGTTGTTAATTTTCATTTTCATTTATATCACCGAAAACTGCGTGCGTATTCAAATTAATTAATTCATATTCGTGTGTTCTCTTTTCTTGGTGACGCGGTTCAGGTTCGACTGGTCCGGCAAGGAACCTCTGTTGTACGACGAAAAAGTGTCGTTGCGCGCACAACCGATAGCGACCGGGGTCGCGCATGCAATTTTCATGTGGTGGGACTTGAACATGGATACAGACAACCAGGTAAATCGCTCAAGTACTCTTCCTCTTTTTCTCCCCCCTTTTATTTCTTTCCCTTTTCTTTATGTCCGTTTTTGTACCTTATTATTCTCGTAGATTTTGCTGAGTTGTGCACCCGTCTGGGAGCATCCAGACGTCCCCGATAAGGTGAAGGGAGATACCGAGCGTTTGCAGGAAATGGCGGACTTAATACCTTGGAGAGATCACTGGATGCAGGCTGTGTATTATCTTCCGGAAGAGGTGCCGATTACACGCGGCGTCGAAGTGAACCTCGTGGGGTATCACGACGAGTATTCTTTCTGGTTTAAGTTATTAAACGGATCGATGTAAGTTTCTACTTTTTTTTTTTCGTAATATTTAATCGCCTATATTTCATATATATATATATATATTTTTTTTTCATAATTGATACATTTATTTTATATTTTTTCGTACGCCTTATTATTGCTCGTTACTACTGTTCGTCCTATCTTGTGGCTTGCAGGATTTGAAAAAGTTACTTTGCAAAAATAAACTTGTTTCGCTTGCCGAAAGGGTCTAATCGTTCCCGATTTGTCGCATAATATTTTGCAACGGTGAATAAATAATACACAAGTTGCACGAGTAACGTCGCTTTTCAGCTCTAATGATATCTGCCTTCGAGAGGCAGGCGTACCTTTTCGATTCGACTAACGATCAATTAAGAGAGAAATTATTGTCGCGCAGAGAAAAGATTCCCGAGTGCCCGCGACCCGTGTGCAACTGTTGCGCGCACGTCGCGTACTCACGGACGCGTATCGGTCAGTTGAACGACGCAGGTCGCAATGAGAGGTACATACGAGCTCTGCGGAAGAAGATCACCGCGAACAGCGTCTGCCTCTGCCTGTCAGACGGCTGTCTGTTGGCGCTCGTCGCCGCGAGACTCGGCGCGAAGGTGTACCTGCTGGAGCAGAACTTCCTGTCGCGCAAAACCACGGAGATGTTCCTGCAAGCGAACGGCCTCGCCGACCGTGTGAGAATCGTCGAGTCGATCGAGGATCTGCCGGAGGCGCGCGAGATCGACTTCATCTTCGGCGAGCCGTACTTCTTAAACTCCATCGTGCCCTGGGAGAACTTGCGGTTCTGGTACCTCGCCTCGAGGTATCCGTCGAGCGTCGCACGGATGCCGATCGTGGCGACCATCAAGGCCGTAGCCGTCGAGTTCAAGGATCTGCAGAAGATAAGAGCGCCCCTCGGCGTCTGCGAAGGCTTCGACTTGTCCTGCTTCGACACACTCGTGCAGGTTCGAGTTCCTTTTTTACCTTTTCTTTTCGTTTTCATTCTCGAGATCCAATCGCGTGCAAAATTTTACACAATTTTCACCGATTTTCTACCGAAGTGACGACGTTGCATCCTCCGCTTTCAGACGTCCAGCGAGCAAAGCGACAATCCTATAGAAGCTCATCCACTCTGGGAGTATCCCTGCAGAGCGTTATCTTCGTCCTTCAATATCATCGAGCTCGATCTTACGCGCAACGTGAATTTCGACGAGCGCATTCAGGTGTCGGGCGACGTTCCGTTTTTAGAGTAAGTCCTTTATTCGCTTCTTCTGAACGTAGACAGCCAGAGGAAGCGATCTCGATAACCGGAGACGCATCCTGCAGCGTTCTCGTTGGATTTTATACGTATCACTGTTCTTCGTTTCGCAGCAGCGGCACCTGCAACGGCGTCGCGCTATGGGTGGATTGGCAATTGGACACCGAGACCTCGGTGTCCTGCGGCCCGATCGGGAAAATAGTGCCTGGCGAACAGGTGTCCTGGGACCCGTACACGAGGCAAGGGGTGCACTTGTTCCGCAAAATTTGCGACGTCAACAAAGGAAGCGCGCTTTCTTGGTCATTCACCTTCATCCCGCAACACGGCGAGGTCGAGTTCAATTTCAATTACTAGGAAATGTCGGGATGTATACATAAAAAAGAAAAAGAAAAACAAAATGAAACGGTAAAAAGTGTAAAAATAGAAATTCATGGCCGGATCGTCGGGATCGTAGGAAGCGGTTGCGAAGAGCTGACGATGATGATGTTCTTACACATGCGGAAATATATTAAAATTTATTGTAAGTACAAATAAAAGGAATATATTGCGAGTCCGACGTTTCACTCGATGCTTCTCCTTTGTCGAATATCACATTGAGAAGCGCCTCTTCTTCTTCTTCTTCTCACAGAACTCAGTCAGACACACGTGAAAACTAACGTTACGACGTGCCGTCCGGTAATATGCGTAACTGTTTGGCGAGTCTTTTGCCGATCAACTTCGGATAAGTTTTTTGCTTGATGAGAAACTCCTTACTCTGGTGCGTCACCGCGCCGTTTTCCAACTGAAACCTAGAAAGAGTCGAGATCGATTTAAATGAATAAACAATAGACTCGCGTGAGAACAAGAATGATCAATCTCTATTCCGTGGAGAAGAGGTGTTCGCAATTAAGTAAGAATACGGAGGGATTTTCATGCCCGCTCACCTGCACAGATAATGCAACGGACCTAACATTTTCTCCCTCAGTTCAGGATCACCCTCCAAAATCGAGAGTGCACTCGCGCCTGTTTCTAGCGTTGAGAGACAACCTTCTGTCGGCTGTGTCCTGATCACGTACTCGCTGGTGGGCACGCCGATCAGCTTGCAAGCGCGTAGAAAATACAAGGACGGGCTTGAGTGATATATCGCCTGTGAGATGTATATATGTGTGCATATGAATGTAATACGATAGGAAATAATAAATGACAAAACTGTATCCCGATTAACGAATCGCTTTCTTTCTAGAGATTTCTTATACGTTTAGAAGTTTAATGATTATAAGGCTATTTGATTAAAATCAAATGATAATATGAAAATAATGTAAAAAATAATATAAGAAATAATATAAAAATGAAGGATAATAAAAGCTAATTGCAAATCCACGCATTGCATTGCATTTTGCATTAATTATTACACATTATTTGACATTCCCATGGGTTCACAGTTATCACCAATTATTGCAGATGCAGTCTTCTAAGAGATTTAGAAACTCAGGCACTGAAACTGTTTGAACTTCGTATTACGGTTCTTGGAAATACACACAAATTAGATCTGCAGTCAGCTCTTGTCGTTCCTTATTCTTGTATTGTTTGATTATAAACTATCGATCAGATGTCACTTGTGGTAAGCGAGCTGTCGATATAAAGGATTTATAGCTAAATCATTAACGATCACCTTTGCTTGCGGCCATGTCCCATCTAACAGAACCAAGTTGTACGCTTTTTGTTCATTGATCCCAACTGGATCCAGTGTATCTAGTGCGACAGCTCCAGGCGATGGATATAGCAAAATAGTATTCTTATCATTTAAAATCTCTGCTAGACCTTCGTGTATAGGCAATGGAAACTTCTTTCCTCTAAAACGAATAAGCAATGATTGCTTTGAACCTGTCTGATACATAAAAGCGATAGTCAGGAATCCAGGTAAGAGTAGCCAAGCCTTCTTTACCTGTAAACTAGGCACTTTCCTGGTTCTAAGGCTAATGCTAGCATTGGCACTGTACGTAAACAACGTTTCGCCTCAGCTGGATGTTGCAAGATTATTACTCTTGACGCTGGATTGAGACGTTGCTTCGGTAAACCCGGACACCAACATACTTGCACGGGTCTCCTGGGAACAATACAGTTTAATTCGACGGTCTTTAAAATATCGATTTGAGAGGAAAAGAGAGAAATGATACCTTCCTTTAAATAATTACGTTTCGGTTACATGTAATTGTCTTACACGAACACTGCTGTACACACATTTTCTAACCTCGCAAAACTTGAGACATCGAAAGCTTTAAAATTATTCTTCCAATAGAGAACGACAAATATTAACCTTTATATCTTATATTTGAATTGTAAACAGTAAACTAAGCACGTGCGTGAATAAATTCGACCAAAATCAATGAAAAGATCCTTTTCTCCTTTAACGGTTTTTATCTGCCAAATTTACACATATAATTTATATTGCACGTATAACGTTATAAATGTGTTCTATACAAGAAATATATATGAAATATAAAGATATATATTTTATACATGCATTTTTTGCCACTTACTTGCATTGTGAGCATTTGTCTCTCATTTCAGGAGGATCAGCGGGAATACTCGCCAGTTCACTCCACACATTATCCTCATTTATCATGATAAGCGGTTATCAGAAATATCTTGGATATTTTCCGACAATTATCACACATAATATCACCATTCAAGCTATGCGATTGTAATTTAGATTCGAGAATCTATTCAGACTTCAGTCCTATCAAGGAGCTGAATCTAGCGAGCTTTCTGAAAATTGCGCGCATGGAATTCGTCACGTATCGTACACAGTCAAATGCGGCATTATGAAATTTTTGTGAAAAACCATTATTTATTGTGATTTCGAAGTCACCGCCGCGAAGAAGTACACGGTATCGGCGAGCGATGGCACGCGCGCGATCAGGACGGACGAATTCCCATGCACTGAACTGTAATAACACCGAAATGCGCGAAATTTCCTCTCATGGCTCTCGCGCGTGCGCAATGACGCTTCTTAATAGGACTGTCAGAAACATCTTTTTTGCGATAACACACTCTTACAGGAAGGCACGAACATTGCACCATTTCACTTGGATATAATCTGAAAATCCTTTTACATATACTATTCTATACATATAATCCTTTTACACATACTATTATATACTATTATACACAGCCGGCCGGATGAAAAGAGTGTCATTGTACCCTAGGAACTCTTTTTATCGCATTTGGTACGTTGATACTACGTATTATAAAATGGGCATATTTTAAAGATTTCTCGTACTTTTGTAAAAACTTTATTTATTTTTTAGTTTTTACTTTTTTTTTGGTTAAAAGAGCATACTTTCTTAGATATTTGCAACAATTTATTGAAAAAAGATGATTTTAGTGGTTTTTAGACGCTAACTTCTTCGGAAAGCATTTTTTGACCCATATTTATAAGAAATTTATTATTCAAAATTAAATTTCCCACAAAATCTCGAGGCCGGAACATTCGGGGCCACCTTGTATATTACATATATTATTATGTACTTAGCAATTGAGTTACTCACGAATAATGATGCATTTTTTATTGAAACGTTCAAATTAAGTATTTATTACAAATTGGATTAATCTATGAACATATCTAGCTTATCAACAGATTATATTTTCTCCTTATAAATCATATCAAATATACCATCATGTTATTATTACATATTAACCCTCGAATACTCGCATCAATTTGACTCTGGTAATTCGTCTTTTTTCACTTAAAAATAAACAAAAGCTCGTGTATTAAAAAAAAAAAACTTACGTACTAAGTAACTAAACTTAAAAAAAAACTTAAGTACTAAGCAACGAAACTTAACTAATATTTAACTTAACTTTAAGTGAAATATCTATGTTTGTGCGACTTTTATGCGAGTACTTCGCGGTTGACCGAATAACATATCAAGATATTCCAGTTGACCAATATAATACAATAGATCACCAACTTCATTTATCTTAACTGTGAAAATAAAGTGTAAAGTGGATACGATTCATTGCTTTGGTATTTTATTACTGGGCATGTATTTAACAAATATATGTTCTATTAAAATTATAAAAGTATAATTATAAAAGCAATGTGCATCTATGTTAATATACATTATCATCGAAGCGATAATTGAACTTATCACGTATTCAACTTATATGACAAAATAATCACGGAATACTTTTTCTCTATCAAATTTCCTACTGATTTGGATCAAATGATCAATATTGATATCAGCACTGATATCTCTCCTATTACTTTATTTCTTTTTTCTTCAAACTACCATAATATATATCGAGAATCGGATTAAACGGAAATAAAAATGGGCAAACTTAAAAATAACCAAAATATCTACTAAATCTTACAGCATTATATAACGTAATCCATCGACTTAACATATCTTTCATTCTTAGCGTAAGAAATAAAAATTAAACTAAAACTAGCGAGCTAAGAAAACCTGGGATTTCTCTTTGCGACTTGCAAATATGTGAAACAAATTCGCAAAAGTTAACACGCTTTAAAAAGAAAAAAAAAATAGAGTACGAGAGATTATAAAAAGAACAACGTGTTTTCCAGCTGTGAGTCCGGCGATTGGTGAATGAATTTGCTCACCAGGAACGCCAGCTTGTGAGCATAGTGGCAAGGCGCCGGCACCCGGACGGTGTTGGAGCAGTTGAAGTACATATGGGTCAATTTGTACGTGATACGTTGCATCCTGTCGGGGTCGAGGCCGATGTTGTCGTAGACAACGCTGTACGAGGTCGGCGACACCGTTCCCTGTTTCACCTTCTGCGACACGAGGAAGAAGTCGTATTTGATCGGGCTCGTGACAACATCGTCGACCACCGTGCCCGGCGGTGGGTTCCCCTTGTTGTGGAAGAATCGGGTGTTGATACGTTTCGTCACGATCACGAACGACATCTTGTAATGTTCTCCGCCGTAAAGCTCGTTCAATTTCTGGCGCAAATCCACGACCTCCCGCTCTATCACGTGGGGCACCTGGCCCTCGCCGACGCCATCGCGATAAACCAGGATACGCGAGGGCAGACTGTTATTCTGCGCACGATACGCCATCGCGGCCTTGTAGATATTCGAGGTGAACATGTGCGACAGCTCGTTACCGTCCGCGTGCAGATCGGTCGAGCTGTAGTATTTCGTGAAGTCTTTGTTTAAGGACGCCACCATCGCACCTGTAACAAGAAATTGTTAATATCGCTAGAGGAAATCGATTGACGTTTGATGATAGAATATCAGTTTAAGGGGGTATTTTCTTCATTTGAAATATCGTTTTGCAGGTCATTTCAGGCATTTTTTGGGGGGAAAGAACCGTAAAACATACAATTCTGACGCTTTGCACAGTGATAGTTATCTACGCATGTTTGGAATATAAATACAGTAGTTTCTACGATTATCTTCACTTTGAATAAAGTTATCTTCAATATTAATAAAATATAAAACATTTTGTACAGCGTTGAACGAAAGCTTTTTGCTTGCACGGTGATTCCGTTGGTTTTTGAAAGCAGAACGACGAGAAAAATTATTGAATCATAAACTTGGTCGGTATCATCTCTGCCATGGACGGAGAATAAAAATTGATTTCTGACGAAATAGCACATCAAAGAATTGTGTATTTTCGAAACCTCCGTTGTATTTATTCCTACAGAAAATACAAGTTTATTTCAAGGAAAATCGAGCTGGAAGAAAAATGAAGTTAGACGATCACTCTAACATGTTTAACAAGGCACTCGATTGAGCGTTTCAACCGGCTTGGTTCAAACATACTGACAGACTACAGCAAAAATAATTTCGAACGAATGAACCAGTAAAATAGGAATAACACTCGGGCAAGACTGACAATTCGAACAATGAGACACAATTTTTTGACATTGACATCGATGAGGGAACTCGACTCACGCTTACCGTAATCTTTGCCCGGTTTTGTCGTGTCATGGCAAACGTCGAAACCGATAGTCATCAATCCTTCGATCGGAATGTCCACGCGCCAGGGCGCTCCGCCCAGCTTGCAGTTCATCTGTATCGCTACTTTCGTTGCGATGGACAAGACGTTCCGGTGCGAGAGATTCTTCTGCAGGTAAACTTGCGACGGTACGGGCCGGTCTACGCAGCACTTCTTCTTAATCGCCGAGTAACGATCCATGCGATTGTTCGGCACCACGCAAAATATCAACTGCGGTATCTGCTTGGACAGTATCCCCTCGAGGAACTCGCTGTACGAGCTCGGCCTGTCGTCCCGAATAGTGAATATCCTCGGCTGCTCCACACGGAAGGATATACCGTGCGATACTTTAAGCAGAATGTCCACGAAGTTCTGAAAGAAATATTACATATGTAGATCGGAGTGGAGGAAGCTATATATCAGGTATACAAAGCTGGCGGAGAAGTCCTGAATCAAATGAAAGAAGAAAGGGAGGGGAGAGAATAAAGAGCTCGTGGTGGTACCTGGATAGAACGTCTCTCACGTTCTGAAACAATGAGGATCCAGTCCCTCAATTCCTTAACGACTAAGCATCGCTTATTTTGCATCTCTCTTCCCCAATCGCCTACGGGTGACTTGACAGTGCCCGGTGGATTGCCACCGAATATTATACTTTCATGATGCAAAATACGCCCCTTCAATTCAAGCAGGTTATTATCCAGCTTCATGTTCCAATGATCGAACTCCTTCTTGGCGTCAGGATGCTCGCGAAGTCTCCTGCTGAACGACAACAATTTTTCGATACGCGCTTCAGGATTGATGCGTGTGTATGTAGACAAGCTCGACATGACGGAGAAATTGTCCCTCATCGCATCGGTCAAGCCTGGAAGTCACAGAGTAACGATACGTCAAAGCAAAAAGATCAAATTGGAAAATGAGAGAAATATGAATAAGTAAAAATGAGAAAAATATGAATAAACGAATTTATATAATAATACGAAGCAGTATTTTTTCGTCGTTGAATCAACGAGCGGAGAATAATGGGAATGATCGATTCTAAAATTGGAGACTCTCGATCGAGGACATTTTGCACGCACCTGTCGCACGGCACAATTCGGGTACCAGATAGCAGCAACGATCCCCTTTGTCAGCCTGTCGGTCCCTCGTTTTGCTTCTCGACAGAAGCATCGGCTGAGTAGCGTTTGTAATTCTAAGACCGTACTTGTTATAGTAATAATCAACATATGACACCATTGTGCCATCTTTCATTGGGAATGTTGATTTGGGATTCGCATTGTAATCCACATCCTCAACGCGGTATGTATTGTTGTTGTAAGCAGTAAGGACTATTGATCCCACCACCATGGAAACGAAATTTGCCTATGCACACGTACATAATTATTTCCACGATCAGATTAAGGAAAAAAAATAAACATAGAATTACACAGAAATAACGCTTACGCTGCGAATATTCAGTAAAATTGAATGTAAGATAGCAACATTTTGAGTAATTTTATCGACTGCGTTCAGCAAGTGAATTACCATTTTATCAGCTATCCAAAATTACCGAGTAATTTACAGCAATTATCGTAATTTGCCGAGTAAATCACCGCTAGATATATATATATATACGTACATACACATTTACATAAATTTTTTTCACGCCTAAATTCACATATAAATACACGCGTGCGCGTGGAAGATTTTAGATGGAAATGCAACTAACTCGAAACTTGTGGTTGTCTCGAGTCCAACAGTCGTTCAGAATATCGAGCAATGTTTCCTGACGCATAACTTTAGTTGTTATTTCAGCGCACATTAAGACATCGCATTCGTGTTGTCGGATAGATGTTAAATATCCTGGCCACAATTCCAGTCTATGTTCCGGCAAGGACACCTGCATAAACGAACAATTATTTCGTTATGTTATCCGAGCGCGAATCGCACCACGAATGTCAACGTAACGTCTAGACATACCTTGTTTTCAGCGTCAAAGTAATTGCGACCGACCAGTTGCAGTTTAAGGTGGCCCAAGCATTTTCTCATAATCGTATTGAAAAATTGGAGATAATGGGGATCCGACTGCATTATGCTACTAACCACGCGGACGTCGATTTTTATTTTCGCGTTGTCCGATTGTCGGATTGACATAAGTTCCATTTTCTGAAATAAATCGGTTGCATTAATCACAAACATTATCACTGAACGTTGCAGGTACAAAATCATCAACGTCGCTTACCTCGGGCAAGCGGTTACTCGTGTACAGTACAGTGCCGTCGAAAATGTACACACCGAGTTTTTCTTTGTGGGGTTTCAGTAAACCTTTACGTATGACCGTACGGTCTTCCTCGGGTGCAAAATCGACGCGATACAGGTAGATGCACCAGTCGGGCTTAGTGATAAATTTAAAATAGTTTGTCTTCAGGTTGACGATGCTGCCGGTATTGCCTACAGATCGTGTAAACGGAAAAAAATATGTACAAGTTCTAAGAAGAAATGAAAATTTTCCATCACTTTGTGTACGAGATTTCTTGTCGGAAGAGCGATTTAACGCCAAACCAAATTAACATTATTATTATTTCACTCACCCTTCTTATTCATTATGTGGCTTGGTTTCGTAACGAAGATATCCGTCGATACCATTCTTTTACCGCGGGACGCTCCCCTTCCCGTTGTAGAAACGGTTGTTAGTGCTCCAACACTGCTACCAGCATCTCCACTAGCACCTGTTTTAAAAAGAAAATGATGCGTTATTTATTTAATATGTTCACTTCTCAGGTTTGCCACGGAAAGTGAATTTTAAAATTCCTCGACCTCCTCATGTCTTCTCTACGACAGTGGAGAATTTTCAATGAGCAATATGTATTTAAACTTTAACGTTTAAAAGCAGGTATTGCAGGAAAAATAATTTACATTGTTAGAAGCAATGCAAATTTAGAAGTTCAGTAACAAATTGCAATCCTGAATACAAATTCAAACCAACAAAAAATAAATGAGCATTGGAAAAAAGAATGCAGCTATGATGGAAAAGAGTGACTGAACAAGAATGCTGAATGAAATTGACCAATCATATTTCGATTATTTCCCTTATGATTGAGGAATAACTGACTGTGATCAGTCACTTTTCTTATTGCTTACATTTTTCTATATGCCCTAACACGTAAGAGAAATTTGTCAAATGTGCGAGTTTTGTGAATGCATTTGACTACAAATGTTAGATATAATATTTTAAAAAATTATAAATGCATATTACAAGTACAAAAATATAAAGTTATAGATACTTTTTATGGAAGAAGAGCATTTAAGGGGATTGTGAGCAAAGTTAAAAATTCCAGGCTTTTTCATATCTTTCCCAGACTTTTTCAAGTTTCCTCTGAGCAATTTAAATTTCCATAACTTTTCTCGGCTCTTCCGGTTTCCCAGGTCTGCGGCAACCCTGGCTTCTATCTAGAACACTGCCGTGTGCAATGCATGTGTCATTCATTTACCATTTTTTAATTCTTTTTACCTTTTTTTTATTCTATATACCACATGTTGAAATCAACGTCGAAACAAAGTACACATACGTTTAAATATACATCAGATATTTCCCTCAGATATTTTCTTCTCAGAGAGATAAACGGGGACTAAAAGACATTAGCTCCCTTCACGCTGCACCAATAATGCGAATTATACATGTATATGTATACGTAAGGTCAGAAAAATGCAATAATAATGTGCAATGGGATCATAGTAATAACAATAAAAAGAAAACATACTTGGTTGAATCGACATTTTTTCAATGCCCCTGCCTATCTGCGCGCCTGCACCATCACCCTTTGCACCAACACGTGTTGCCACACCACGGCCGCCGCTCTGTCATCAGATATTTAATTGTTTAATTAAATAATAATGAATGTTTTTACATTTTTTTCAGACATGGGAGCGGTTTAACTATCAAAAGTAGTGAGAGAAGTGAGTCTCATTCTTGAAAAAACAAGAAAATAACGAGTCAGCTTTAAGAAAAAAGTGAATAAAAAGTGAGTCTCTTCCAAAGAATTTGTACACCGAGAGAAAAGAAACCGGCAGTTTTGATTAGAAACAACCGTTTAAGCAATATATTTCAATTCAATCTCAATCTTAATCCGTAGTCTACAGGGTTTAATGCGATGTAATTATCAGGCATTTATATGATCGATAGAAATCAGCGTGATAGTCAACATGTTAATAATTTGATGGAAGCAAGAATTTTGGACAAATATGGATAATCGATTTCATTACGTAATTTAAATAAAACACAGTCAAGTATGTTGCTCAAGATAGTCATTGTCTGTTTTTTGGCAAATTTGGTAAAAACAGCTTAAAAATAAAATCATAAGCTTTACACTTTATAAACATTGTGACGTCGGAGTCATTATTTTCTATTTTCTTCGAATCTTCCGGTTTGGTTTCTTTGAAGAAGCTAGTTATTGAATATGATTTCTTATAATGGAATTTTGTTCTCAAAGAGCTTGAGTTAAATGAAAAAAATGAGATTTCTTTCTCTCAAGAATGAAGAAAAGTAAGATATTTCTAAATAAGTAAAGTGAGTTGCTCCCATGCCTGTTTTTTATACATCTTGCAGAAATATGTGCAAAATTATTATAATAAACACAAATTCTCCTCAACTAAGTACTAGTGCAATTTATGGTACTACCAACTTCGATGCATTAAGCTTGGTGAACGTTAATTATACATATACATCGCTTTATTATATGTTTTTTGATAGTTTCTACTCAGTGGTCATTTTTTGAAAACTTTCGTTGTTTTGGTAAATATAAAAATATATTTTGATTCAACAAGGCTATTTACATATGGCTGTACGATAAAAATGAGCAATTGTACAAAAAAAATCTATAAAGTTAAATATAAATGAATACTTGAAATGAAAATACACTATGTTTCCGTACAATAATGTAGATTAATTAATTAAGCATTAATAAGCTTCAAGAATAAAGCAGTGCATTTAAACAGAAGCCAATTTAAATAAGTAATTTATATTTATTTTTACAATCTATATACACGACCACTAACCTTCATGAATCTGGTTTAAATCAAGG